TATTCTGAGTTGGATGACAGGGCTGTTCGACCTACTCCTCATGTCCCTTCAGACGCCCGACGGTCGCGACTTGCGCAAGGGCCATGTCACAATGAAGCGAGAGCGTTTCCAGAGACTTCTGCGGCCCTTCCTGGGCACTCGGCGCGGCCTCTCGCGGCAAAGCTATCTGCGCTGCGGGCCAAGTCCCCTCCAGCGCAGTGGTGGACCTTGAGAGTCGATCGCCCTCGAGTACTCTCCACTAATGCCACTCCACCATCATCGCCCCCCCCTACTCACCAGCTGCTCCCGCTGACGACTTCCATTACACCATGCATGTCAAGGTTGCGGACACGGTAACTAGCGCACTCGAGTGCGGGGACACTCCATCCAGAGCAGTTGTCAATATTTAAAAAATAGGATTGTGATCTTGATATTCTTTTGTAGAAGTCAGTTTGCAGTTTTTGCCCCCAAAGCTATTTTAAATCCCATTTCCTCTGCTAAAGAAAAAATTGAGACCACGTAGAACGTCGATAGCTCAAATTCCTTGATGTATCGAATATTCTTCGTCTTCATTACGCAATCAGAATTCGGTGACTTATCGATTTTCTTTTCGAAAATAATTACATATGATTTTTTTTCGCTTTAGACTAGATATATCAAGAATTAATTGCTTTTACTTGAGGTTTTGCGAGTTAAAACATTTATTTGCATATCTATGTATTAAAAACACTATAGAGTTTTCTTCTCAATCAATTTACACGATTTTTCCTTGGAATGAAAGATGGTTGCCACCAGATGTCTTAACTCATGCCAGTACTAACCTGTTATGTTCTACAAATTTTAAAATGTTAATAATATTGAAATTAATAGAACGAACGCTAGATTGATCTGCCGTCATTTGTTCATTATTTTGTTGTGCGATTTGCTGTCGCTCGTGGTTTCATCACATGGCGCGAGCAAGTATGTGAGCGCGAGGTTCTAATTATGTACAGGCCATGACTGAGTAAATATTCATAATACAACAGAAAAGAGACATTATTCTCGGAGAGGACGCTGCTTTTTTAAATACCAGGGGAGCCAACGTGAAAATTTGCTCCAGAATTAATGTATGTAGAATATTAAGTACAGTATATGTGAACAATCACGCAAGTTTTATTTCAGAAAAACTTAAAAGAACAAAGAAGCTCCTTCAAGCTTCCGGTGACCTTGCCAGCCGAACTACAACCATGTATTGTTTTGTGTTTGCCTCCAGTTGTTTCCATATCCTCCTGATTACTACTCATTACCTTCCTTGGATGTGTACGATCGATTCCTTGAACTCAAGCAGACGCAACTGAGCACTTGGCGCTCGCAGGCTGCGCGTTGTTTGTGAGGGGCGTCCGGGGTGTTTACCCTGCTGCTACCCGTTTCATCGGCGGTAATCCTATTACAAAAACAATTAGCGGCGCGGCGGAGTGTTCTTCGTGGGAGAAACATCTGCGGTTGCGGCGAAGGCCTTATGCTTACGTCAAATTTCGGCAGTTTCACAGTACATGCCTGTGGAAATACGATCTTGGCTTGCATTACCATTCATTAACGATATTATTAAATATTAATGAATCGATTTTGTTATTCACTTCTGAATTGCCCTGCTCCGAGAGAGGAAGCTCAGAGTATTAACCGCAGTGCCTCTGAACGGGAGGTTCCCGAGTTCTCCTAGGGTCGAGTATCGACGGTGGCAGGATTTTCGACACTAGCTAGATAGCTAACTCCAGTTCAGTCGCTGTCTGGAGGAGAATTCTAGCTGCTCTGATCGGTGGTTTTTCGTGGTTTCTCTGAACACGCAATTACTGGAGCACTTCTCTATGAAACGGGCCACGGACTGCACGCGCGAACATTTTCCTCTTCCTTGTTCTATCCTCACCCACTTACTTACGTACCTGTTTACGTACTTGTTTACGTACTTGTTTACGTACTTGTTTACGTCCTTGTTTACGTCCTTGTTTACGTCCTTGTTTACGTCCTTGTTTACGCACTTACGTACTTACTTACGTACGTACGTACGTACTTACTTACGTACGTACGTACGTACTTACTTACGTACGTACTTACGTACGTACGTACGTACTTACTTACTTACGTACGTACTTACTTACTTACGTACGTACTTACTTACTTACTTACGTACTTACTTACTTACTTACGTACGTACTTACTTACGTACGTACGTACTTACTTACGTACGTACTTACTTACTTACGTACGTACTTACTTACTTACGTACGTACTTACGTACTTACGTACGTACTTACTAACGTACTTGCCTACGTACGAACGTACTTGCCTACGTACGGACGTACTTACTTTCTTACTTGCGTGCGTACACACACACACAGACACTTCCATGCACTACACTACCAATGCCGAGAGACCAGTCAGGAGCTTAGAGCTTGTGGTGCGGTGTCCAGCCAGTGGGAGATACCAGACTTTAAGAAAATCTCCGTAAGCCGTCGTAGATCGACCGAGAAAGGTCACTGCTACCTCCCGCGATGAACATATGCACTACACTTACGGAACTAATGACCGTAGCAGTTGACACGCCCTGATTAATCGAGCACTCAGTTTTTACAAGTTAAAAACTGGTTACGTACCATGTAAACAGTTCTGAATTTATAAGAATGAAAATAGAACCTGTTGTGTATTTTCGACAATGCGTCTCCTTTCTTATATTTTTAGTGTAAAAATGCAAATGATGAAAGAATAGGTAATAAAAAAGAAGAGGGCATGAAGTGGTCACTGATGCGTAGAAAAAATAGAAGTGCGAGAAAAACTATGATCGACGAAAGAAAAAATACGAACCTAATAAACAATCTGAAAAATGAATATGAAAATTATTCGTAAAAATGCTTTAAAGGATGCCGAAATAGCTGAATTAACGTGTTCGGTTCCGTGCATTTCAAATTGTTTATTTTCTGCATAGCGGGCTGGCGGCGAGCATTCGGCGTCTTGCCCCAACCCTGCGCGTTGCCTGCTTGGTTGGGAGGAAATCCAATGCAGATTGAGAAGGGCGCACGACGCAAGCAGCGCGAGAAAGGCGCGACGGGAGCTGAAAAGATTTCCGGATTACGTTCAGCAAATTGAATTGGATCGGCAACGAATGCAAGAGAGTGGCATATAAAAACAACTAAGCAAAAGAATCTCGTCCTGCTCTGAAGCTTATTTTGGTAATGTGTTTAGCAGGAGGTTCCTATTACCCGTCGTTTTTCTAAAAACAGAATTGGTCCGTCAGAAAGAATAGAAAATAAAGATGTGTGTAATTAAAACATGGAGGTGCTCGACAGAGTACTGGGCAACCGTACTACACAGTAATCTACGTACTGAAGACACAACCAGGCATCGTTCTTTCCTTCTTCTTAATTCTATCAGCCTTGTTTTGATTGGGTTGAATTGTGAGAGTTAATACATTGATTGTGATCCCATAAACAATTATTTCAGATCATGCTAATTGTGAGAAATATACTAGTACGTTGGTATTAGTACAATAAAACTTGTTCGGTCAGGGAATCTTCAGGGACCTATCTTTTTTTCGCATAAGAAATTCCGCAAAATATAAAATAATAATAAAATTAATTCCAGCAAAGACAAAATACTTGAAAACGAATGGCAGTATGTGTAGTTACCTCAATTGGCAGATATGTACCACCTTCGAAGTTGCATACAAATGCCCGAAGTAGTAAGGACTCTCGCCCAAACCGGTGACGTCTATCGGACAGTGTGTACAATACTGTAGGACCGACAAATTTGAACTGCTCGCCGGATAGCGGCAAACAAATCGAATGTTGTTATGCGTTATTTGAAAAAAAAACATGTCTACTTGTAGATGTGGCTGTACCGGCAGAGAAACGTCTTAAATACAGGAGTTTGGAAATCGAGATCAGCCTAATGTGGGTCGTAAGAGCACTGGTTGTCCCGATAGTTATCGAATATCAGGGATTTGTTCAGCAAAATGAGTGTAAGAACTTTGCTAAACTCTCGGATCATTCAAAAGATTGGGAAGTGCTAGAAATTGCTTTTTTTTTGGATCAGGTCACATTTTGCCCGAAGTGCTGTAGAGGCACCGACAGTCCCTAGAGCTGCTATTTAAGAAACTGGTTGTATCCGGGGGAAGATTTTATATTCAACCATCTCATAACATCTTTAGTCGTGATGTAGATGAAAATAACAACAATAATAATAATAATAATAATAATAATAACAATAATAATAATAATACCGAATTTGCGTTTTCAGGATCGCTTTTTATGATGATACAAGGATCGGGCACATTTCGTCAATGAGCAAGTGTTATTATATATCTTTCGTTATACTTTGAAGACGTTTAGGCTCATAGTACTCAACTTGTTCTTTTTGAATCGTGTCATTCGAGATACAAATGAGGGACATGCAGCGTCGCGTCGGTTGCTTTTCTCCACCGCAGGCGGCGAGCCTCATTACGGCGCCGCGCGCGACTCACCGGTGGAAAAGCCTCGGGAGGCGAGAAGGGCCGTGGGGGTGGCGACGACACACGAGGGCCCGGCCGACGACGTCCGAGGAGGCAGCGGCGGGTGAAGCTCAAGGGGGAAGGGGGAGCCTGCGCCGGCAGAAATGGTGTACGAGAGAGAAGGTATGTGGCGAAGGACAGGAAATGCAGGAGGACAGGAGATTGAGAAGACGGCGGTACTATTTGGAGGCAGAGGGAGAGAATGAAGATGTGAGTGCGAATGAAGAAGTGCAGGAGGGGATGTGAGGGAGAATGACGAATCGGAGATGTGAGGTGCAATGAGACTGCGGAAGAGGGGATGGAATGGAGAATGAGGAAGCGGAGGAAAACGTGTGAGGGGCCCTGACGATGCAGAGGAGATGGTGAAAGAGCAAGCTGAGGTGGCGGAGGAGGAGATATGAGGGAGGGGAGGAGGGGATGTGAAGGCCAATGAAGAAGCGTAGATGAGGGAGAACGGAGAAGCGGAGGAGGAGATGTGATGGGCACTGAGGAAGCGTAGGTGATGGTGAAAGAGCAAGCAGAGGCGAGGGCGGCGCTGCAAAGAGGAGCAGGACGCCTTTGTGTCCGCGAGCGCCCCGAGAGGGTCGGGTTGCAGGCGGGCGGAACACCGCCGCGTTGCGAAGAGGAAGCTCCGGCGACTGCAAGAATGATGACCTGCGTAATAATACGTTTGACACATTCTCCAGGCTGTGATGTTGAAACTGAAAACTTCAGACCAATCTCTCATTGTACATGTAGAGGTTTTGTACTAAATCTTAATGCAAACCTCAAATTCCCCTAAAAATGAAACTACTGAGAAATATCCGGTTAGTTGTTATTTTGGTAGTTCGTAAGTAATGGAAACTCGGTGATTTCAATATTCCCTAATTTAAAGAATTAGAAACTTGTTTTCTGTAGGCCATGTTTTGTTTTCCGTCGAATTTTCTGTTTTCCTTCTTAAAGTATCTGAAAAACAACTTTTTGGCTAGTTTAAATAATAAATTAAATATCGGAGGGCCCAAAGCTAGTGCCAATAACTTTCAAGATAATTACGTTTAAGGATAATATGTTTGCAGATGTCATAAAATTCAAACATCAGATTAATATAGAATCCCGTTAGGATATTCCGCAGTTCAACGTAATGAATGCATTTCCTTTCTGAGTGAAGTAAAATTAATGATAAAATGGGAAGAAATATTGTGCGAAGTCATTCGTTGCTGTTTCAGTAGTTGGTCTCCATTTTTCATGCTTATTTTTAATCCCATTTTGTGTGGAGCCGCTTCTTAAAACACGTCCACCGTGGAACGCACCTTGTCCCGTCTCCCTGCTCTCCCCCTCTGAAAGTTACCTCGCCGCCAGCGTCGCCGTCTGGCATATTGTGCTCAGCGGTCGCGAAATGCCTTGCTGCGAGCGGATTGCGGATTATATCTGGATTTAAGGATCGGCTGCGTTAGGTTACATACTTTCTGTTGGAAATGACGAAACTAATTGAACTAAATAGATTCGTGAAAATTCTCATTTGTAAATTTATTATATCGTAAAAAAATTATGCTTTGACAGCTTGTATGGTTAAAATAACAATGTTTTAAGATTTTTCGAAAAACGTCATCGGAAGTCATCGGATCATGAAGTACCTCCACTCAAATATGCAATACTTGATGTAAAATACCCCCCCCCCCAGAATTAAAGAATATTGTTCAAAATCATAGAGCTTCGAGCGATGCGTGATCGATCGGGCAGGATTCAGTTTAGAAAAATCCTACGCAGAGTTTAGGCGCTTACGTTGTTCTCAGAGGGTCGGCCAGATCTTGCGGTTCCGTCACCTGCAGCCATGTTCGCTCTACCGCGTAGGTTCTTTGGGGACAGCCTTGTTCGCTGTATCGCGCCCTGGTGCTGACGGCGAGGAACCTCCTTCCGTGGGGCAGCCTCCTCCGCTCGGCTGCCCGTAACCTTTGATCGCGGCCTTGGCCCCAGACGTCGCCTGCATAATGCAGCGGGCGACCTGCGACCTCCGGCCACCGAGCAACACGCAATACGTCGCCCATTGGCCCCGCGCCTGCCTGCCCTGTCTGCCTGCTTGTCTGTGTCTCTGTCTCTGTGCGTTTGTCTCTTTCTTACTCTCCCTCCTCCGCTCTCTTAACTCTCAATAGGCTCTACCTCCCTCATCTTACACTCCTCTACCTCCCTCTCTTACACTATCTCCCCTCCCTCTCTTACACTATCTCCTCCCTCTCTTACAACTAATCCTCCCCTCCCTCTCTTACACTATCTCCCTCCCCTTCTCTTACAAGCTATCTCCTCCCTCTCTTCACCTATCTCCCTCCCTCTCTTACATTATCTCCTCGCTCTCTTCACTCTCTCGCCTCCCTCTCTTACACTATCTCCCTCCCTCTTCTTACACTATCTCCCTCCCTCTCTTACAGCTATCTGCTCGCCTCTCTTACACCTCCTCCCTCGCCTCTCTTAGCACTGCTCTCCCTCCCTCTCTCTACACTCTCTCCGCTCCTCTCTTAGCACTCTTCCCTCCCTCTCTTACACTCTCTCCCTCCCTCTCTTACACTTCCTCTCCCTCCCTCTCTTAACACTCTCTCCCTCCTCTCTTTACACTCTCTCCCTCCCTCCCTTACACTATCTCCCTCCTCTCTACACAACTATCTCCCTCCCTCTCTACACTATCTCCCTCCCTTCCTCTTAGCAACTATCTCCCTCCTCTCTTACACTATCTCCCTCCCTCTCTTACACTATCTGCCCTCGCCTCTTCTTAGCACTATCTCGCGCTCCTCTCTACACTATCTCCCTCCCTCTTCTTACACTCTCTCCCTCCCTCTCTTACATCACTCTCTCCCTCCCTCTCTTACACTCTTCTCGCCTCCCATGCTCTTACACTCTCTCCCTCCCTCTCTACACTCTCTCGCTCCCTCTCTTAGCACTCTCTCCCTTTCTTCCTCCCCTCTTACACTCTTCCCCCCTCCCTCATTACTTACGCACGCCGCTGACCTGGCCTTTTCGGCTTCGCCCTGCGTCACATGGCAACGCTCAGCAACAATGAAGCCCAGGTGGAGCGGTTTGAATGGAAATTAAATTAGAATGAAGCGCAATTTTGTTATGCAGCCCCGTCTTGTGGAATTTCAACAAAATTAACAGCGCATAAACTTTCTGGGTAAAAAAAAAACATGTAGATGTGCCATTTTTCATGGATATCTGTCACACGGTGTCGGAGTTTACACGAAAGATTAGTGGTCTTTAATCGAAATAACACGCCAGCAAATGACTTGTGTAAAGTAGAAATCTTGCGAGCGTACTAAAACCGTTCCTCGCATGTTTATAAATTATTTTAACTTCTAGTTTATGTTGCTTTTCCTTCGTAAATGTTATTACACATTTGCCTCTCTACATATGTTTCAAAACTAATGGGAACGATTTTCAAAACACTCTTTTTTCTAACTTCTTGCTCTTTTCATGCCCTCCAATGTATGCTATCACAATATTGAATGTTATCTGGATGAGGTATTGTGTATTTTAGTTTAGAATAGTGACAGCAATTTTGAAGAGTTGTCGAGTTGTCGATTGCGTGAAGCTGTTAGTACTATGTAGCTACCTACCACTGACAGGGGGTCGCAGGAAACGTACTCCCGAGTCTGACATTTGATTTTCGGAACAATTTGAGCCGAAGTGATGTTTCGGCTGCTCCATGACTCAAGCGGATACGAAGCAGAGCGGTGGTGACGTCAGTGATGCGCTGTAATTGGTCCCCGAGTTCCATTTCGTGGAACTACCAAACGCCGAGTAAACTGGGGGAGAGTTAAGTTCTTGCTTTGCCGGAGGAGAGAAGGGGAACTTCGACTTCCGCCTCGCACCGTGGGAGCAACGTAAGTCAATTGCCGCGGCTTGTGTGTTGGAGAGGATCTTTAGTAGGGCGACACATCGTCGGTACACAAGAAACGGCGTCTCTCAAAAAAGGAATTTTTCTGTTTAATGAAAAATATTTTTGAAAATATTATAATTGTCTAGTTCACTATTGAGTATTCAAATTTACATTAAGACAGTTCACAAAACAAACCGGTCACATTAGCCTAAAACATATTGCCTTTGTGTGCAAAGTATGACGCTTCTTTTCCCAATTGTGCACGATGCATAGGTGAGTTGTTTAGTAAATTGTGTTGCGGGTTGCATGAACGCATGCTTTTTCCAAATGTGCCACAATGTGCTAACTTCTGTTTCAACTCGAGGAATATCCTTCTCAAAGTGTAATTTTTGACCGGGGTGCAAATTTTCTGCAATTCGGAGCCGTCGATGACAAGATATCTGCCAGCAGCAAACTTTCAGAATGCTTCCCTCAGGTAACGTCAGTTTCCACTGGAAGAAACTCGCTGGACAGGATTACGCAATATTATGGCCCTTACATCCTTCTCATTGATCTTCATGTTCTGTAATAATTTAATTCTTGCGCAAGCCGTATGCTACAAAACCCTGTTATTGAAGCATGAATTGTGTTGAATTGAGATGGAAGATTACTTTTTTTTATTACTAGAGTCCAAAGTTCAGGCATTCATTTTTCCTAAAATAGACAAGCAAAAAGGCATGTAAGCAATGAAAAACCACATTTAAGAGGAAATTTAAATAAAATTATTACATTGATTCACATTTTTATTCAAAAACTAAAATTTACATTAGCACTTAATGTGTATGAAAACTATATTTTCTTTGTGTAATCGCGATCATTGAGAAGGATATATCAAATACAGAGTTCTATCCGCAAAAAGGATCTGGCGACTTCCACGAAAGTAGTATTGGATTGCTTGAGAGTGAACAAACCCTGTCGGGATCAATGACAAAATATTGACTATCTTCCTTTTCCATTTAGATTTTTAACACAGCTTTTGCTTCCACAGAAAAACAGAACACGGCCGCGCGCCTTCAAGAGAAAAAAGGCAAAATAACGAGGAAAATGCAGAAATAAAACAAAAAAGCAAATATATGTATCAAAAAGCTAAAATAAGCAAAAAATGCAAAATTAAAATCTACTAAAATAATTCCAGAAGTACAATAAAGTTATCCCTATTGTTTAGTCATAAAATAGTGACAATAACAAAAAGGCATTTTACCAATCTTCTGAGCTCTGTTTATTTCATTTTATGTAATATCTTAATGGGCACATGAGCGTGTTTTCAATCCGCTCCGCTGAGTGAGCTGAAGCGCACCGCGTCGTGGAGATTTGCGGGCGCGCCGTGCTCTTGCATGAGGCGCCGGCAGAGGCCGCACGCTGCGTGGGCACTTTAGCCCACGGCGCCATCGCCCTCCCCCTCCCCCTCCCCCTCCCCCACCCCTCCCACCGCCTCCCCTTCTCCCTACCCCTCCCCGCTCCCCACCCTCCCCAACCCGCCCCATTGGACCACCTTCCCGGACCCCCAGCGCCCCGCTCCCCACGCTCTCGACTTCCCCAAGACGCTTTCTTCAGCTCGACGCCGCCCCCAAAAGCTCCACCGCGGGTCCCTGTCGCCCCCGCTGCTTCCGGTGTTCCCGCACTGCCAGGCGTCCCAGCGGCAGTGCCTCTTCACTTTCCGTTATCCACGCCCCCACCTCCTTCGTTCCCTCGCAGCCCCGCCTCCCCTCGCCCCCTCTTCCTTGTCCGTTGCCCTCGCCTTCCTCGCTGCCACTCGCCGTTATCCCTGCCCACAC